CACCTTGCATAAGGTGTATGCCACCAATTTTTTGGCTCATTTGGGCCAGTATAATAAATAATAAAAATCTTCAAAGATTCTAATCCCCACCTATACCCCTCCTATCCCCACCAAAACCCCTCGTAACCCCCCCCCCCACTACCCCAAATACCACCCTAGCACCAAATGCTCAGAAAAATCTGAAAATTTTAGTGGGGGGTCTCTAGGGCATGTGCAACACTGTCATTTTTTTTATTTTTATTTTTAAGTGCCAAAAAGGCATCGGACGACGGGGGTACCGGACGTACGGGGGAGACGGGAACCATTGGTAACCTAGAAAAAAAGATTCCTTTTTTCGGGAAAATTGTTGAAGTACCCCTAAAAGTTCGGGTATTTTGTCAGATACCCCTAAAACGCAGGGGTACGCTGAAATGCCCAGCTTCCGCACCTGCCCTCATCCCACACAAAGGCAACTTTGCCATATGCCCTGGTCCTGGGTAGCAGGGAGCCCTGCATTTCGTTTTCCATCTGCATGTGTAGCAGGCTTACAGTTCTTCCACATGGAGTACCTAAAAAAAAAAAAAAAACGCACAAGAAGCTGCCCCTACGAATTAATGGGCCCAGCTGCACTGAGCTCTACATTCACAAAAGACAAAACATATGGAAGTGTATCTTTCCATGTTCTTGTGGAAAGTTCGTTGTGGAATTCCAGCTTTAGAGAGCAGTGCAGCCAGGCCAAATGGTGAAGGCTTTCCTTTCTCGAACAGACCGTGGCCATCTGGTGATGAAGGGTTTTGCTACCTTCGGCACGTGAAAGGTATTTAAAACTTTTTCTTCCCTTTTTTTGCCCTCTCCCTTTTTGTTTTTGGTTCATGGACGCCATATCTAAAACGGGACTGGCAGTCCCCCTCTCTAGCGTGATGTGCACCGCCCCAGAGAGGACTCACAGACCCCCTTCAACAAAAGAAGCTGAACATGTGCAGCCAATGGGGAAGCACCAAACCGAGTTCAGGGCCAGCTCAATTCCAGCCTCAATACCCCAACGCAAAAATGAAGAGAATGGCTTTGCCCTACGATCCATGGAAATCAGCGGTGGCAAGGAGTGTCACACAACAGGGAGGTGGAGTGCCAATGCTACCGTCTTCCCCCAACACAACGCACCCTTATTTTGGCTGTATCTGGCCGGAAATATATACATTCATTTTTAGGGTGCGTTATGTTCGGGGGAAGACAGTAGTGGGACTTGGCCCCGGGGGTCATTCCTGTTTTATTCCTACAAATAGGGTCCGTGCGAATGGTCCTTTTGTAATCAACCCAGCAATCGGCTGAAAGTCCAGTTGGTGAGGCCCCCAAGTGGCATTTAGGAGGGGTCGTGGGCCTCATGTACCTTCCTGGGCATGCTTGGCCCCATTGGCCTCATGTACCTTGCTGGGCATGCTTGCCGCGCACCACCTAGAGAAAGACCTAGCGCACCACCTAGAGAAAGACCACTGGATCCCCGATCCGCACTGAGCAGAGTCTGCTGATGCTCGTAGGGGTGGGGACCACCACCTGAGGGGAGGCACAGGGATTGGTCCTGTTGGCATGGTCCCAGATGCTACCGGCTGTCCCCTAGCCGGTAATATCGCCCACCCGCAGGTCAGGAGCAGCCCCCACATGTTCTCTCCGTGAACACGGTTGCTGCTGCCACGGTGTTCCCCGTAATACTATGATTAGGAGAAGTAGTAGGTAGGTAGTGTAAGGTGAAATTAAGAAGAGAATCTAGCTTAGTTAAAAAGGGGGGCGCGGGGGGGGAGGGGGAGGAAGAGGGGGGGAAGAGGGGGCGAAGGAACTGGCAATAAAAGTGGGTTTTTTCCTGGTTCCAAAAAAAAAAAAGAGAACAGGAACATGCAAATATTCGGCTGTCTGTAAAAATTAAAATTAAAATAAATAATAACAATAATAATAATAATAAATATTCGGCTGCGTGCCCAGCGCATATGGCATAGACCGTGGCCTGAGCACACTGAGCATCTCCTTTTTTTTGTTTTGTTTTTTTTTTAACGAAAAGACATCTCATGACTTTCAACTCAAAGTCCGAGGCCGGGGGCAAGGTCCCACTTGAGCCGATTAGGAGAATTGGGCCGTTGATCTTTGCAATCTACGGTCAGTATCTCTTAATTCGTGCAAGTGGGACCTAGGGCCGGGGTCCTCACAGTCTGCCCAGAGCATGGTCCCATTAGCAGTCGGATAGGAGTGTGGCCTATCTAGTGTGACACTGAGTGGCAGCGGGCTGACAGGTTCATTACGAATTTCTGAACTGCGAAAACAGGAGAAAGGCAAAAAAAAAAAAAAAAAACAGAGACCTGCCACCGGAAATCACAGCTGAGTGCTTCCCAGCCATCAGATCACAGATGATCTGATGGTGGTGGCTGCAACAACAGTGAACAAGTAACTGCCATTTTTTTTTTCTCTGGAATCCAACTGGACTTCTGTCAGCAGTGATCCTGACACCCTCCATATATATATATACTCCGTGATTGAAGGAGGGCTCCACCCAATGAGATAATTGCACAACAGCAAGTAAACTACTGAAAATCTTCTATCCAGTGGGCCTAAGGCCAACCCCACCCTCTTTTGAGGTTGGCCACACCCCCAACCGATTGAAAAGATTATGGCGGGAAGAAAAAGCTTTCTTTGCACGGGCATGCCCAGTGTTAAGGAGAGGAGGAGGGGAACAAAGATCTCCCTACTTTTCCGGGTAATAAAATACATAATATTATAAAATACTGACCGTGGGATCACTTAAAGAGTACTGCAGGGCAGGATTTGGGTCACTCAACTGTCCCACAAACTCGTTTCTATCCTATCCCGTTGCTAGTGGGACCATGCTCCCGGGCCGTGGTCCCACGAGCAAAGAGGATCGGATCGAAGGCCGGAATTTGGACGTGTTTGTCGAGAGGTGCAGGAAATCGAGATTGAATTGCTTTTCTGCATCTCTGCATAAAACACGTCCACATTCAGGCACTCGATCCGATCCTCTTTGCTAATGGGACCTCGGCCCCGGAGTACCTTACAAATAATTGTTACGGCCCTTTGCTCCCTCGAAAGTCTTTTTTTTTTTTAATTAAAAAATTAAAAAAAGAAAGCAACTATGACGTGAGTTCGACAGATTATCATGATATGACACGTGGCAAGACACGAGGAGGAAAAAAAACGGCATGAGAGGGATTTTCTTTTACAGTAATTTTGGTTATATTACAAGAGAATGGGCCTCGCTCCACTGCGCGCCACATGCAGAAAAGACAAAAAAAATATGCCGGTGTATCGCCACATGCAGAAAAGACAAAAAAAATATGCCGGTGTATCTTTCCATGTTCTAGCGGAAGATTCATTCTCATTATGCACATTTGGTGAGTAGTGAAGCGAGACCTAATATTACTAGAACAAAGAGCATCAAGACATCCCTTTTTTTTTTTTTTTTTTTTTTTTT